GGAGATTCCCCTGCAACCCATGGAGCAGACCATGGCGAGGCAGGCCGTCCCCTGCAGCCATGGAGGTCCAGAGTGGAGCAGATATGCACCTGCAGCCTGTGGAGCACCCCGCACTGGAGCAGGGGCATGCCCAAAGGAGGCTGTGATCCTGTGGGGAGCCCGCGCTGGAGCAGTTTGTGGAGAACTGTCTCCCGTGGGAGGGACCCCATGCTGGAGCAGGGGAAGAGTGTGAGGAGAAGGGGCAGTAGCTCTGAAGCCTGTTTTATGGCTTTTTATTTCTTACAACTCCGCACCCTCATCCATGCCTCTCCACAGCTGCAGTTTACAACTTTCCTGGAAAAAAAAAATGGGTAGAAAATTGGTAAGGGTGATTCCCAACACCTTGAGTCCATTATACTGCACAAATCTTCCATGTGAAATGCTGGGGACTGTGAAATGTGAAGAGTTTCCAAGATCAATTTTTTGTCGAATTGTAGAATGGTTTGCATTGGAAGGAACCTTAAATACCATCTAGTTCCAACACCCCTGCTGTAGGCAGGGACACCAGAACTGTGACATATTATGGCACGGACTCAACTTGAGGTGCAAGTGAGACAAAGTTTATTTTGCAAGCAGTGTTTTATACATCTTTACCCGGACGTTAGTCCCCTGGGGACTTTCCATCCTGATAAGGCAGCTATTTGCACGAGGTTCTCTAATCTGTCTAATCTGTAGTCATATCATGTGTCAGGTCAGCCAATAAGGTTGTTGTTCACACGCTGTCCATGTGCCGGCTGACAGTGCACAACCGCTGCTTCTAATTCCTTATCACTTAGTCAGCTCCTTCAGCACCTCCACAAGTCCTGTTTACTTCCGCAGTTTTCTCTTGTCTTTCTGCTTGTTGCAGCAATTTGCTCTTGTCCCCATCCTCTACATTGAACCAGCTATTTTACCTAGACTATGTGAGTTCAGTTGGCAAGTATTGCAGCAATATATGGCTTTAGTTTCTGAGATTTATGTTGGCTCCATATCTTCATGCAAATTTATATTACTTTACACGTATATACAAAAATGGGGTCCCTGCTCCAAAGCAGCACAAGAGACAACAGTGGTAAACAGAAGCAGCAGCAAGAGCACTTTGAGAAAACAGATTGCCACGGAGAACAAGAGAATAGGAAAGAGCAGGTTGGAGAACACAGGTAAACCAAAAGAGAAAAAAACCCCAAACAAACAGAAACCCTGCTTATCTGTGCTTAATGAAAACTAATCATTTTTGCTATTAAAACACCCAATTTTTAAAATAAGTGGGTGTCTGATACTGGAGTCTGCATTCATTCCACATTGCCATTTACTTACTAAGAATTAAAAACATTTAAATAAATGATTAAAGCTATTATTATCAGGGGAAAATGAGCAGAAAGCTGCAGTGCACTGGTTCTGATGTCATCCTTGAGTGCTGAAGAGTAAAAACTCTTCACTGACTGACTGACCCGATTTCCTGGATCATTCGTTTCCACCGATCAGTGAAAACAGAAAAAAAGGGCCAAACTGCATGTCTGGGGAGCTTCAGCTTCTCACGCTGCCTGGGACAGGGTCTGATCTGCATTACATTAAATTGATCACTCAATCCATTTATGTAGGAAAAAGAAAATCCCAACAATAAACATTTGCTGCCTCAGTGACAAAAGGCTTGCTTAAACATCATCTTTAGGCAAGCAGGGCAGAGCAGAGAAAGAATATACTACCAGAAGTTTGCTGGAGACTGGTATCAGAGTTCAGGAATTTGAACAGTTTCTTTTTTCTTGACAAGAACTCAAGAGAAGGTAGAGGGAATTTTAGCCTGTCAGATTCCCATCTATGGGCCTAAATCTCTTTTGTTACACAGCACATTTTGCGTTTTTATTTTTGGCTTCCATTTTTGTGCCTGGTTTCTCAGTAGGTTTTCTGTATTTGTTTCAGACTATGCATGTTATTTCCAAAGGTAGCAAGTTATATTTGTATTGTAGTTTTAGTTTTAGCTCAGCTGAGTGCACAAGAGAAGACTGTATGATTCCTCATTGTGACACGATAAATGTGAAAGTTCCGGACAATATTTGACATAATCCGACACGTTATTTGACATAATGAGGTGTGACAACTGATTGAAAAGCTAGTTGCAGGAAAAAGGGCAGGAACGCTCCGCTCTGCCTTGTGGGTGTTGTAGTCTTTCTGCCGTCTAGTTCCTAAGCAGCAACAGGAAACTGGACTCTAAGTCCCATAGCTCCCACTAGCGCCTACTGCACAGGCTCAGAGACCATATGCTAGGAGGGGTGACTACATTGTGTCTATTGTATGTTTTTTTCTTTTTCCCCTCTGACGTTTTGTACATTTTACGGGAGTTTAAATCGGGAGTGAAAAGCATGGCAGATGAGCAAGAAATTATGTGCAAACTCGAGAGTATCAAGGAGATCAGGTATGTTTGCTTTGTGCCGCATCAGTTACACGCAGCGGCTTTTTCCTCGGGGGAGCGGAGGAGTTGCATCGATCTGAAAGTAGCTATTGTGCTACTGAGGGAAAGGAAACCGCCGCTGGGCTTTACGATAAGAGCTGGAAACAGATTTTTTCCAAGTAGGGAAGGAGCGTCTGCTGCTGGGGATCGCCGCTGGAATGCGCAGCGAAGGGCGGCAATGGTCGCGCATTTCCAGAGAATGAGCCCTGCTCGGTAACACGAGGAGTGCGCGGGTGGGAAGGACGCAGCAGCCCCGCGCAGCTGGGGGAGTGGTGTCGGCCTGCGGGTGGGGGTTTTTTAAGCCCTTTGAATTATTATTTCTTGCTCTGTCATAAATCTGTTATTTCGCCCCGCT